AACAAGAGGGGGGAGAGCCACTCACATCTCAGGTGACCAAGAAGCTCAGTGAGAGGAAGCAGAACCAGGACCTTCAATGGTCCTCCATGACCCCCTTCTGCCAGCTACTCCCCGCATCTCAAAAGTCCCACTGCCCCCCCCTCAAGTATCACCACCAGCTAGAGAGCCAAGCATGCAACACTAGAGCCTGTGGGGACCAGGCAGACTCAATCCATTACCTAAGGGCCCTATTCTGTGAGCATGAGGGTGACCTCAGAGATAGCTGATCCTAAGACTGAAGAATATGGTCCTAATACAGTTAAGAGCTTATCTTTGATATCCCCCCCCCCCGCTCCTATCTCTATGTCTGTCTGTCTATCTATCCATCCGCCTGTCATTCTCCATCATCTCTCCCTCTCACTTTATACCCTATCCACCTATCTTTGTATCTGTCTGCCTCTGTCTCCCTCTCCTGCCTCCTACCCCGGCTTTTCTCTCCAGCTTCCTGATGCAGTGTGTGAAGATAGGCCGTGGATATTTTAACATACTTCAAGAGGAAAATGCCATGAAAAAGAAGCAACAGCAACTCCAGAAGCTGAGGGAGGAAGAGTTAAACAAATTCCAACCAGCCAAGAAGTACTCAGACATCCAGTGCAGGGACAATATGATGACGTAAGTGGGCAGCATCCTCAGGGATACTGAGCAGTGAAGGTTCGCTCCCTCAGGGTGGCTCCCCTTTCCTTGGCCGGTACCCAGCCCCTTGTTCAGCCTTGTCCAATCTGCCTGGTCATCCTTACTCTCTGACATTTAAGTGGAGCATCTTCTATGGCACATTCCACTCTTCTACCTGATGCTACGAAGGGCAACAGAACTAATCTTGCTTGTTCCCATACAAACCTCCCCCATCTTTTCCATATCTTCTCCATCCCTGATCCCTCCCCACATCCTCTTCCAACCAAAGCTCAGCTCGGGACTTGGGAACTGAACACCCATTTTCGGTGCTGCCTCCTCCTGGCACTTCCTAGCTTTCAGCCAACAGCCTGCTGTATCCTTTGGTTTCTCTGGGTCCTCATAACGTGCACTGCGTCTATCACTTTATCCCCTGTCGTATCTCTGCTCTACACCCCCAGATACAGCTCCTGGTCTTGCACAAAGCTAGTACACAGAAGAGTGTCTGTTTTCTGAGTAAAGCCACTTCCCTTTCAGGAAGGCTTTCTCCCAGCTGGGGGAAGATCATCCACAGACCGAAGCTTCATTATGAGATGCTCACATGGATAAAACAACAAGAGGAACCATAGCTAGCACCAAACACAGCAGTAGTGACAAGTATTTACCATGCTGCATTCCTACAAAACAGGAATTTATTAGCCCTGAATGAGAGTTGTAGAAACATGGACTAAAAGATATCTGTTGGTTTTCCAACATCACTAATTAGAAGCATCCTCAATCGAAAATCCAGTGGTACCAAAACCCATGGACTTTGACAATCATCATCACGGACAAGGCCCCAGGAAACTTAGCTTGTGAAGTCAGAACACAGCACACGCTGGGGTTGGGGGAGGGGAGGGGCTCACAACAGAAACCAGCTACAGCTGTAACCAGTTAGCAAAGCTCACCCTAGCAACCCATTAGAATCACCTGGTAGCCGCTGGCAATTCACAGCTACTGAGAAGCTGAAGCAGGAGGTCAAAAGACCCAAGGCAAAAAATAATAATAAGAAGAAGAAGAAATCACCCTGGGAGATTTTTAAACCACCAGTGTCCATGCTACCCCCAAGCCAGTTAGAGTGGATTCTGTCATGGATTGGGGAGAGTTACTCGTTCATAGCATTTTTAAGTCCCCCTCACGGGTTCCAAAAAAGCCATGGCTGATCAAATTTTCTCTGCACCATTACCCAAATTCTGTCATCCAAGGTGTTAGCTAATATGCATGATAGATAGATAGATAGATAGATAGATAGATAGATAGATAGATAGATAGATAGATAGATAGATAGATAGATAAATATTAAAGTCCTGTGGGCAGAGTCCTACAATATGTGACCTTTTAATGGTGTGGCTTACTTCACACAGTACAGTATGTTTGATGTTCATTGTAGGTGACCAGGTGAGTGTCAGTGGGGGAGAGAACAAAGCAGGGCGGGAGAATGACTGCTTGATAGGTTGGAGGGTCTCCTTTTGGGGTGGGCCTAGCTGTCATTCATTCATCCTTTACAAAACTTCTTCCAGCAAGGCTCTGCCCCCTTCAACAACCTCCCCCAACAGCACCACCTTCTGGAGGCCCAATGTCCTCACATGTGAGCCTATGGGGGCATTTTATATTCAAACTACAACAGTCTGGCACATTCTTACCACACAACTTACGGTGATGTATTGAAAGATCTCAACGCACAGGACCCTGAACTCCACTCCACCTATCCCTTCCCATTGATCTAGAAGAAGAAAATACATTCCAGGGAGTAGAGCATTAATCAGGACTGTAATGATACTGGGAAATGGTGTGTGATGCCAAGAGGTACATCTATGACACACCAGTATCAGCCCATCAGAAAGTCTTGGCACCCAGCATGCACCATTAGGGCAGTAATGTATTTTCTTTCTTAAAAGCACCTTCAGACATTTGTTTGACACAGAAGTGACTGTATGTGTCCATAGGGTACAGTGTGGCATCTCAAAACACACATGCAACATGAGATGGTCAGATGGGGGTCACTATCAGACCCATCACCTCAAACACGGAATTTTTTATTTAGTAGAAAGCATCTGAAGCTGTCTACATTCGCAATGCGGGAGAGTACGCAACCCACTGTGATCAATCACAGTTTTCCAACTGCTGTATAAGGTTAGACATTATCCTGCCCAAGAGGGCATGTCAGCCAGTGGTAGGGTACCTCCTAGCACTCGCAAGGTCCCGAGTTCAATCTCCAACACCTCAGGAAAAACAAATCACACCATTCATCAAATCAAGCTCTCCATGCATTGTCTTTGTCCACAAGTCAGAAATAGTATGTTCAGAACCACTAAAACATCCTCATTAGACCCTGAAAGCAGGATATTTAATAGAGAGAGAGCCAGCCAGTGAAACCCCCTGGGTCTTTGTTTTTCTGTGACAGTCCCAAGATCTTGGTGCAAACTCTGCCTTCTACCCAGAGCCCATCATCACTCTCCCCAAGTCCAGGACTCCTAGTGTTGCCTGTCAGATGGCAGCCTTGGATAAAAAGGAGTAAAAGTCGAGGCTCCCCTTTACAGAAACGGTAATCTAATGGACAAGCCACCCAACCTGCACCATGAAAGGGGAGGAAAATGTGAAGAGGTGGCACAGAACATCCCACTTACGTGGATGTGGCTTTAATCCAGTAAGAGGACCCTTTCTCTCCCCTCCGGTCCATGTTTGGGTATGCAAGGCATGGTTCACTTATAGTTTAATAAGTTTAAATATGCATGCAGTTGCTCCTTTCATTGGTCCTTTGTGTACAAGACCAGTCACTAACACAAGTGGCTGCCCACTTCAAGAGTATAGCATCAAATGCAGGAGTGGGGCCTGCTTTATAAGCTAGCATAAAGAGACTGTCCATAGCATGGCGGGGTCAGAGTCAAGAGCACAGTTAGGACCTGGATTCCATTTCTGACTCCACCCATACAGCTGCTGAACTTGGAGCAGTTCACTGTGCCTCTCTGGGCCTCCATTTGTTTTACCCATGTGGATGGTACCAAACCCCCATGCTTACTATGAGGGTTATTTAAGACGATGCTCAGGCCAGCACAGGTCACAGAACACATAAAACAGGCTCCGTGGCCATCAGCAACTATAAATGCAACAAAGTGATTTTGATCTCTCTGGGCTTCTGTTAGCTAAACTCCTTATATTTTTTTGCATAAAAAAATCTTATTGTCCATGAAGGCAGCCCACCTCTACAGATATGGTTCCAACACAGAGGTCTCAAGAACACAAGTGTTCGTTTACAAATGCTTTCTAACCAAGTATTTGATCTTTTGCTTTTACAAAGCAAATGGGGTTATTTTTGCCCTGCCCCCCCCACACCTCAGGATCTAGGTGATTCCGGGTAAAAGTTTTAAGTCTGCCAAACTAGGCAAGAAAGGGGAGATCAAGCATGTCCCACAAAATCCTCTTCTGCAAGCTCGCCTCCCCGCTGTGCAGATTCAGCTGGAAAAAAAAGGTGGTGGAGGCGTGAATTTATCTTATTATTGGAGCCAAGAGAAGGCATCAAACCAGAGGTTAAGGAGTATGAGGGCTGGGTTAATTTCTGTTTAGTCTGGGAGACATGGTTAGGCCAGTAAGACAAAACACAACGACGTATTTGCCAGTGAGACTTTTTTCTAGTTTGTTTGTTTTCCAGCTCTAGTATCAAATAAGGAGTCAACAGACGTGGAAACTAGGGCACCTAGATTCTGGGGCTATCTTTTAATTAGCTCTATGACCCCAAGAGTGTCCTCAAATTCCCTAGAGGAAGGTGCTTGGTCCTCATGTGTGTGTGCCAGCATGACCTCACAGGAAGCTAAGATGATGGTTTCAAAAGAGAAACTGCTCCCCACGGCGCCCTCTGAAGGGCATCCATTCCTCAGTGGACAAAGACAGAAGTATGGACAGACCTTGCAGGCCCACCCAGGCAGTCTTGTTGGAGGATTGCTGCTTCTGCCTTGTCGCACAGCCTCCTCCTGCCCCTCTTACTGCACGCCCCCTGCTACTGCCTCCCAGTACAAGCCCATCCTCTCTTCTATTGGCCTAGTTAATTCAATTCAACCTTCAGATCTCAGTTCAGCTTTTATTTCTGTTCCCATTACTGTAGCCATGAAGTGCGGACTCCAAAACTTACTAACTCAGGGCAACAAACACTACTTCCACAGGTCCATGATCCAAGGGCTGTCACTGCTCCATTTGGCATCAGCCAGGGAGGCTTAAAGGAGATGGCTCCCTCACACTGGCCCGGTGCCTCTCCCTGTGGGGCCTCTTCATAGGACAGACACTAACAACATCCCAGGGTGCAGGGAGGAGAGGCCGCTCACTCTTGAACCCTGACATGGCATCACTCTGTGCAAGTTTTACTGAGTCAACCTACCACAGAGCTACCATCTAAGGAAAGGGGGAAATTATTTGGGGGTTTATCAGTGAATATGGGTGATGCCCTTTTTAACTGTCATGACTCCCTCAGGGATTACAGCCAACGTTAGCCTATCAAACTCTGTGTACTCTCCCTATGCACACTGAGCCCCATTGTGTTCTCGGTTACACCCACCCAACCCCACAAGACTCTAAGCCTCAGGAGGGCAAGGGTGGGTCAGTCTCCTATGATGCTACATCTGCTGGCCCTGCACTAAGATGTTCAATAGTTACTGCTAGAAGTGGGTGGAGCCCACTGGAGCCCATCAGTCATCCTGTAAGGGAAGCACTTAGATGGGACCCCCCTAAACAATTAGCCCCTCAGGGGAACAGGTGGGTGGGAAACCAGCTGTGGTTAAGCCTGAGCTGCATGACCCCAGTCAAACAAGCAGTGACCCCCTCCCCTCCAATCTTCAGCTGCTGTTGATGCTCAACAGTGACAGGGCCCAGAGTGACTGGCATTTATAAGGTTTCAAGAACCAAAGCTTTACAATTTTTACATGAAGTTTCTAAAATTTAAAATATGGATGGTTGATTAAGTTGCATGTGCATGCATTTGCCCTGGCATGCGCGCGCGCAGACACACACACACACACACACACACACACACACACACAGTAGTCTGATGAAAACACCACCTGCAGGCTGAAAATTATAAAAAATGCCTATGATGCAGGAATATTTGAAAGAAAACCATTTTCTATGACTGAGATAACCTGCTCTGTGATAAAACGAAGAAGAAGAAGGAGGAGGAGAAGGAGGAGGAGCCAGGAGGAGGAGGAGCCAGGAGGAGGAGTCAGGAGGAAGAGGAGGAGGAGGAGGAGGAGGAGGAGGAGGAGGAGGACCACTGAAATATGGTTTCAAAATACCCTTCCTAGAACACAGCAGAGAGTATGCCAGTCAATCTTGTTTGTCAACATGACTGAATTGAGAACCGCCAAGGAGATTTGCAGTGACCACCTCTGGGTGTGTCTAGGATCAGATAAAAAGGAGAGATCTGCCCTGAACGTGGGCCACACAATCCCACAGGCTGGGGACCCACATGGACTAAAAGGGGGAGACTGAGAAAGCAAGTCACAACAGGCTTCTCTCAGTCTCACTCCTTTTTCCTCCACCTCCCCCCTCCTGCCCTCTCCCCCTCTATTGCTCCCTCCCTCTCTTCTCTCCCCCTCTACCCTTTCTCTTTCTCTCTCTCCCCCCACTCCCTGGACCTCTGCAGGGTAAGCTGATCTGACACCGCTACCCCCACTGTGAGGCCCAGCAAATCTAGTTCACTCATGTATTCGTCACACAACAATGAAAAACGAACACAAAAGTATTTCTTACTCTTGAAAAGGCATTTCCAACACCTGGTATGGTGTCTCTTTAACAAAGAATTTACCTCCTTGTTTATTTTCTCAGCTCCTCTAGTGGGGCAAGTGTCGTTTTCTTTTAATGTGCTCTGTTCATGGAATGCTTCTAGAATTCTCACCCAGCAAGTTGGCACGATTGCCAGGCACACTGTAGGCACCACATGATGATGAGTGCCAAATAAGCCCTGACATAGACAAGGTCTAAAGCCGCTACTTACGATTCACTCTGCCCCTCCTTCTGTTCTTCCCTCAGCGCCTACGAGGAGGAGAAGTTAAAGAAGCTGGAGGCCGGCATCATTATCCGACCATTCATACCAATCCACAGCTGCATCATGGGGCCCAACTTGCCTGAGTCTCACGTGTAAGCAGGTTCCACAAGTGAATGTGTCAGGAGCCACTGAGATGCTCCTCTGTCCTCTTGAAGGGAGCGAGGAGCTTGGAGCCAGCAAAACCGGCTCATTAAAAAAAAAAAAAGAAAAGAAAAGAAAAGAAAAAAAAAACACACAGAACAGACACCATAGGTGTGGTGGATTAGACCCCAGTGACAAATCAGATGGGGCCCTCGTCACCCCTTCTCTCACCAAACCAGACATTCAAATGTCAAATAGTTTGTAACGCTTGATAAAAATCTGTCTTGAGCTCTCGCTGTAGAGCTTGTACAAAAACATCTCAGCGGAGGCTCAGGGGATATGATCCAGAGAGCTATTTCCCAGGTAAGCCTCTGTGGTCCAATGCCTAAAGGCATGGCCTCCTCATCTCCTGTCGTGCATGTTCTCTCTTCCTGAGACCTTCACACCTGGTTCTTCTCTCATCTGTTGCAAGAGCTACGAGTCCGTAGCTTTTCACCTGGGAAGGTTCAGGCAGAGACATAACCTTGTGACCTCAGCCCTATGGGCATCTGGAGACTGAGAATTCCTTGCTGTGAAGGCTTCTCCCTGTGTAAGACTGGATGTTATTTAGAAGTGGCATCCTGGGCTTCGGCCCAGCAGATGTCAAGAGCGCCCCTTACCCTGCAAGCTGTGACAACCACAGATGTCTGCAGACATGAACAGATGTCCTCTCAGTCCAAACCCTCACAATCCCTCCAACCTCAGTGTTGAAAACCTCTGCCTTAGGATAAGGTGCTCACAGCGCCACAATATACTCTATATTTATTATTTGCCCACAATCTTTACAGTGACAATGCCGCTCTGTAGACACCATGTGTACTCAGCCCTCTCCCGAGCCCTACTGTGTGGGTGTTTCCTTGTCCCTCTCTGCAGAAGACAGTGGAAGCTCAAAGATGTAGACCATCTCTTCTTGGTCACAGAGCATACACAGCAGGTCACCCTCCCAGGCTGTAAGCCAGGTCCTTCTGATGTCACATCCCAAGTTTCTCCTTCATGCACTGTAAAAAGTAGATCCCAAGGCCTTGCCTTTGGGGAGTTCCGTGACATATTTTGAAAGCCAAGGTTCCTGCACACAAAGAAAACCCAGGAGCAAAATTTGCAGGACTATATAGATATTAAAGATAATTAATGAGAGCACTTCGTTCATGGGTAGAAGATACAGGCCGCCATTACCAATTCCTCTTCCTCTACCACCACCACCATCACCATCATTCATTATCTTCCATCACAATTTTCCATCACCACTGTCAACAGTATACCCTGAACATGCCCTCATCCCTTTGTAATAATCCAGGTTAATCCCCCTGGCCTCCTGTCCAACTTTGGTTGGCATTATCTGGGTTTCTTGGTAGACCTATTCATCATGAACATTCCAATGGCAGCCTAAGTTGAACGCCCTCAAAGTATCCCCTTAGGCAAACAGGCCTTGTGATTCCCAGTGTCTCTTGGAAGCACTCCCCCATCTCTTTGCTGTTCCCTTGGATAAGCCCTTTGGAAGCATGAGATTCACATATATCCAGAGATGGAAATAGATGCCTAGAAAAAATGGGTAAGTCCCATCCATTTGATCTGAACAATGAGGCTTTAACACAATGAGCCTTAAGTGTAGTGAACAGAAATAGTTTCCCTTCAATGACAAACGAGGAAAGTGAACTCCAGTGATAGGTGAACCCTGCCAGAGGTATCACAATGGGACTCTGAATTCCCTGGCTCCAAGCTCAGGTGTATTAAATATCATTACAGTTGTCAACCCATAGTAGATGTTATAGTAATATATTTATTGTTACTCTATGAGATATCTAGTAAATGTCTTAGGTTTTGACCATCACATGGTCTCTCTTGCAACTATTAACAATTGTAATATGAAAGAGACAAGGATGGGTTGTATTGTCTGTGTTCCAATAAGGCTTTCTTTATAGAAACAAGGGACAAACCCACTCATTGGCTACAGTTTGCCAACCTTTGCCCTAAACTAACACTTGCCACTTTTTTCCCCCTTGGCTAATCAAAGGTTCTGGCCATGTTGAATAGCTAGAGCATTAATGTATTTCTCAACTTGAAGTGACTTAGAACCCTTTCTCATTGTTCCCAAGTCTACATATTGCTGAGTGACCCCAACGTGGCCGGTTCTGGCTGGGTCTATTTCCCTGTTTGTATCTAGTAGTTGGGTAAATTGGAGGCTGGCTGGTCTTGGCAGGACCAGACTTTGGTTTGAATGGTTGCCTGGTGACTAAGATGACAGGTGCATCTCTCAACATCTAGTGTAGGCTGATAAAGTCTTGCTCACACTGTATCCAAGTGGAATTCTAAGAACAAGGACCTGAACACAAGGCTTCCCAAGGCAAAAGCTCACAAAGAGGCATGGTGTTCCTCTACCATTCTGTTGACCAAGCAGTCAAAGGGCAGAACGGACACAAGGAGTGAGGGAAAGACTCTACCTCTTGATAAGATAAAGTAGCAAGGTCATAATTAAAGAATATGCAAAATGGCTGGGCGGTGGTGGTGCATGCCTTTAGTCCCAGCACTTGGGAGGCAGAGACAGGGGGATCTCTGTGAGCTTGAGACCAGCCTGGTCTATAAGAGCTAGTTCCAGGACAGCCTCCAAAGCCATAGAGAAACCCTGTCTTGAAAAACAAAAACAAAAAAAAATGAATATGCAAAATGAAGAGCGGGTATGAACTGAGGTATTATAAAGATGTATTTTTATTACTCTTTAACTATGAACATATGTGTATCTGTGGGGTATATATATGTGTGTGTGTGTGTGCATGAGTGCAGTGCCCTCAGAGCTCAGAAGAGGGCAGCAGATCCCCTGGAGCTGGAGTTACAGGTAGTTGTGAGCCCTATGTGGGTGCTGGGAACTGAACCCAAGTCTCCTGGAAGAGCAGCCAGTGCTCTTCACCACTGAGCTGTCTTTCCATGACTTCAAGCGTTTTTGTAATCAGTTGTATTAGTCATTTTTCTTTCCACTGTGACAGAATACTTAACAAAACATAGCATAAGGGGCTTGGCAAATAAAGTCACTTGCTGCCATGTCTGATGGCCAGAGTCTGATCCCAACAGCCTGCATGGTAGAAGGAGAGAATTGATTCTTGCAGTTTGTCCTCTGACTCCCACAAGTGCAGCACAACATATCCCTCCCCCATTAACTAAACAATCCTAATAATTATTTGATTAATTACTTGATTGATGATTTAATTAATTATCTAATGTAATAATTAAAAATGGTAAGAAGACAAAAGAAAAAGAAGCAATGTAAGGGAAGAAGAAATTATTCTGGTTTGAGTTTGAGGGAATTCAGCCCACCCTAGAGGGGGGAAGGCAGGCCAGTGGGCCAATCAAGCAGCCTGCTTATATCTGAGCTGATTACAAAGCCAAGATACAGCTCCCAGGGCTTGCTCCCAGGGCCTGCTCCCAGGGCCCTAAGTGTGCCATCTAGTCATCATGTCCCAGAGGGTTCACAATCTCCCCAAACAGCACCACCAGCTGGGGGGCCAACTCAAACTCCGAGCCCACCGGGAACATGTCACATTCTAACCATAACATTAGTCTACCAAAAGGCATGAAGACAGGCTCTGCTTGTCACATCTTAAGCTCTCAGCCACCACATCAGCCAGTGTAGATCAGAGCCTGGTTAGCCCCTCAGTCCCAGTGCAATTGATCCCAAAGCTGACCGATAATCCTGAATTAACTGTGTGGGGATCGATCCCATCACCTCAGGGGAGACTTGACTTTAACTTTTCAAAATGGGAGGGGAGGACTAAGACACAGGTTCCTACCATCTCTATAAAATGACAAGGTTGTCCCTAGTAGCCTTTTCTAAATACCTGTTCAGTAAAAGCATGCCACACCCCATGTCCAGATCTGTCATTGAACACTGGTGTAGATGGCTATAACAGCACAGTACACAATGGTCTGGCAGCTGGTGAGAGAAAACTACTGTCTCTCCCCCAGCCCCAGGGATGTTCGCACCCCCCCCCACACACACACACCCAGGGTTCCTACTGGAGTTGCTCAGGTATGTGAGAATCAGGTGCTGGTTCTCACCAGGTTCTGAGCCCCCGGGCACTGCAAATGTGAGCTTTGCACAACCCTGTGTGGAGATTTTACCTACCATGCCTTGCATCCAAGCAAATGAGTGTTTTCTCTTTAAATCTGAGCCATTGTTCTGTGACCTGGAAAGAAAAGTCAGATTTCTATGAAGCAGGCTTCTAGGTTTTGTTTTTGCTTATTTCCCAGTTTGTTCACTACAGATTAGGTGAGTGAGTGTGGAGTCTCCCACTCCTTGTACACAATCTAGACCCATCTGATGAAACCAATTCCTGGTGAAAAGTGGCTGTACCCTCCGGCAGGAAACATGAGCAGCTTTATTTTACAGCAGGGGTTCAGGAGGCTGAACTCAGATTCCAAGTCTGCTATTTGCTGACCTCTGTCCTTAGCTGAGTTTCATGGTCCTTTATGCCTCATTTTCTTTTATCTGCAAAATAAGATGCAAGAGGTACCCTCCTCCCAGATTCATAAGGATGAGAACAACCCGTGGAGAGTGAACAACTGGAACAGTGCTCTTGTGGGTGCTTACAGTTACTGTTGGGGTGGTGCTGTCACTACACATTATCTCAGTGGCCCTGAGGATGAGAACCACACCCAAGCTGTCAGTTAGGGAAAACGTCAGCTCCAAAGCAACTGATTCCCACCGTCTTCCATTCGGGAACCAGAAAGATGCCGAGCCCATGTGTGTACATGCAGCAAGGACAGTAAAGGAGCACAAAGCTGAGATCAAGCAAGGACTTGAGGTGTAGAGACAAGGGAGTTCTAATCCATGCTGGGTGAATGGACAGATGAGTCTCAGGGGAAACCCTAAGAGAGGAGAGATCTTCCTGGAAATCAAGAAGCCATCCCTTCCTGCTCCTGGGAGGCCTTCCTTCCATTAGTACAGGATGAGAAACATCAGGGGGAGGGAGGGGGGCAGCTTCCAGGACTGCACATTTATTCCAAGAAAACCACAGACAGCAGGTTAACCCTCTCCTGACCTCACTCACTAGCAGAGTGATCATCACACACTGGCCTCATCAGTACCTAGTCAGAGCTCAGCTCCCTAAGGCACAGTGTCTAGGGCTGATCACTCTCCAGATCAAATCCTCACCTTTGCTAGCTGTGTGACCTCCGGTAACTCACTGGCCCTTCTGAGGCTCAGGTCTCTCCCAGGTACAATAGTCTTTCATGTTGCCGTGAGCATTAAACCAAACATCCAAATGCTGTCTCTGTGTAACATGAGAGTATGATCTTGAGCAAAACCGGTAGTGCTCTCTGGGCCTCAGTTTCCCCTTCTCTAAAATAGAGATGATAATTCATATCCCACCAGGTTGTCGAAGACATTAAATAATATGGAGAAAGTGCACCAGTCAATGTCTGGTTTGCTGTGGGCAACAGAAGGTCTCCAAGTGATCAGAAATGTCCACTGAACATATGATTAAGCAGTGTTTTTCGTTTTGTTCTCAAATTACGTGCTCAGTGTGTTTTTCTTCAATAGCCAGCTATGTTTCAACCCAGTTAATACTGTTTCCCGTTTCCAGGCTTTCTTAATGCCCTCGGGCTATTTATGGCATTTTTTTATAAGATAAATGACTGGACATTGATGGGATATTAATTGCCTTCAATTCTCATTTTATTTGTCTGAGTCATGACCTCCAGCTAGGAGAAACTCTACCCACTACACACAAATTCAGAGGAACTGGAACAGGATGCTCATGCTTCTGTCATGGCTCTGCCTCCTACTAGCTGGACGACTGACATGACTGTGTGGCTTCCCTAACCCCTCTGATCTCCAGTGTCCTCATGTGCAATGTGTGCAAACACTTACCAATGTGACTGAGGCCGGCACAGCTGCAGTCTCTGTGAATGTATTTGTTCTAAAAGGACTCCCTGTGTTCCTCCCTCTGTCTCTGCAGGGATCCCCTCTACCGTCAGCTGTGTGCACTCCACTGGCTCCTAGAGGCCCTGACTATCGACCATACCCACCACGTCATGAGGCCCTTGATTGCCTGCTGGAACCCCAAGTAAGGCCAGCAGCCCTGCATCCTACTGTAAACCAGCACTTGCCTGGGCGGTAAGAGGTGGGGGCCTTATCTTTCCCACCCACCCCCCTCTTTGACGGTTTTGCCGGGTTGACATGCTCTATGGATCCAAACCCAGGTAAGCTGGCGACAGCTCTGACACTCTCTCCAGAGTCCACTGTACACACTTCTTTATAAGCATCTCTTCCTGATGCCGTGTGGCAACACGACGGTAGCTTAAAACAGGGCACAGTGGAAACATTTACACCACAGAATTAGGCAAGCTACACCAGCAGAATGTAGACCCACAACCGGATTTCTGGCCAGGCCTCCTCATGATCTCACTGTGCTCCCTCGGCATTGGTTCTGAATGCTCCTCTACCTCTGCCACCATCACAAACCCCAAAACACACACACACCTTTGCTCTTTGTTCTTGTTTTTCTCCTTTAGCCAAAGGGAATTTTGTTTGCTTGCTTGCCTGTCTGCCTGCCTGCCTGCCTGCCTGCCTGCCTGCCTGCCTGCCTGCC